ATGTGAGGGGGGGGGGGAGGGGCGGGGTGCCGGTTGTGAACATGTGACTTGGAAGCTGCACGACGGCTGCGCCGCAAGTACCGCACCTGGAGAAGCTCTCTGTGTCCAGACCTACTACACAACTCCACCCTGGTCCCCTACCAACTTCACACCTGGCACGGCTGCCCCGCTCCCCCTTCGTTGAGACATCCCAAATCAAGTATGGCCCCAAGATGTTTTGACACCGCCCCACTTCCCGTCGGCTGCAAGCCTATTCCCCTCGCGTCACCCCCCGGGGCCCCACATTGCGGACGACACCGTGGTGGTCTGGAAGCAGGTCTTCATGACGTAAGCCCCCATCTTCTTCTGGGTGCCCTTGTCGGGGTCACTGCCGCACGCAAGGCACAGCGCCTGGGGGCGCGAGGGGGTGGAGGAGTGGACATATGAGACGGCATTGTGGAGGGGCGTACAGGACTGACGCGAGCGTGGGTGGCGCAGTCGTGCTTCACTGCTGGCGCTTCCACGGCGCAGCGCGCAGCCCGCACTCTTGCCCGGCCTGGCTGCCTGACTGGGGCCGCCACCACTGCTGCAGCCAGCACATGCGCCCAGCCCAGCTCCTGCCGCCTGCAGGCCGCCCACAAAACCAGCCCCGGCCATGCGAGCGCGCGTGTGCATGTGTGCGCGCACAGTTGTTGCGAGTCAGGGGCGCACCTTGGCGAGGGGGAAGAAGATGCCGCCCGCGCGCGCAGCCACCGAGGGGATTGCGGGGGACAGCAGCGCCTCACCAAACACCAGCGAGTAGGTCAGACCCAGGGTGGTCTGGTGGGTGGGGAGGTTTGTGTGTGGCTGAGTGTCAGTGTGTGTGTGTGTGTGTGCGTGCGTGTGCGTGTGCGTGCGTGCGTGCGTGCGTGTGTGTGTGTGTGTCTGTGTTGTGTGTGTGTGTGTGTGTGTGTGTGCGCGCGCGCGCATGCATATGCCCAAGGGTATGCGCGCTTGTGCGCGCCATGGCGATCAGCTGCAACAGAAGTGGAAGCCAACACTAGAACAATTGGCAGAGTGGGCTGGGGCCGCGATGACGGCGTTGGAATTGCTCGCCGATGCGCAGAGAGGCCCCATCCAAACCACCGTCACTCTGTCCCGCCGCGGCTGTCAATGCTGCTGCTGCTGCCGATGCAGCTGCTGCTGCTGCCGGTGCTGCCAGTGCTGCTGCTGCGTCCTCGTCGCGCCCCACCTTGCCAAAGGCGGACACCATGGAGTACGCAATGCGGTTGCCCAGGCTGAGGGGGTGGGGAGGGGG